CAACATACAATTAAGTTTTATTATGGAATGTACATATAATTAAGAATTGAACATTTGCAAAGTTTCTTCAGAAAGAAAATACATATGCTAGTGGCCAAGAAAGAATATACTCTTGAGTCTCTAACAGGTTGTACTTGGGTAAGGAAGCTAAGTATACAAGACAATAACAGATGTCTTTTGTTAAATCATTATGTCCTAAGACTAAGCTCTAATTGGTTCCATATAAAAACTATAGGTGAACTGGGCTGAGTGGACAGGCCTGTGATGCCAGCTCCATGGGTGGAGGCATAAGGATCATGAACTCAAAACCAGCCTGTGCTATATGGAAGTCAGTCTGGGTCATACAACATGCATCGACCTCAAAACACATCAAACCTATAAATTTTACAATAAATTTCCACAAATTCATACAAAGAGAAAAAATTTTGTAGATACAACTTTTTCATTTTCAACATTTCCAACTTGAGTTCAATGAAACACCGTCTAAGAAGATGAGAGTGAGCATGGAGAAAACATAAAAGGTAGGGAAAGGCACACCTGGTGACATTACAAAGATTTTGCATAGAAGGTAGTTTGCCTCTGTTACATCTGCATTTTCATGACTCATTAGGGACAGATCACAAGATAATCTCCTTAAACACACTTTGCACCAGTCTGTTAAAGACTGCTTAGATTTAAAAACAGAGAACTTTCATATTAGCCTAAGGGACAGTGTAAAAGCATGTATCAAGCTGTGCAGTAGTAGCACACTCCTTTAATTCCAGCATAGAGGCAGAAAGCAGGCACATCTCTGAATTCAACGCCAGCCTGGTCTACAGAGTGACCCTGGACAGAGAAACCCTTGTCACAAAAAACAAAAATCACAAATCAAAGAGTAATGAACTATCAGAACAAAATGTGGTTTCATATTACACTTTCTTAGTGGCAAAAATTAAGAAAAAATGAAAGCAATTAGGAGGAAGAAAAAAAAAAAAACTACAGTGAAAGTGCTTTTATTTCCCTCCTGCTCTGCCCTCCATCAGTGCTCATTCCTTAGATTAAGCAAATCATCTGCAATTAAGAAAGCAAAGTTCCATCTTGGTTTATTTCTCCATTTTCATTGTTTATATTAATCCCTGATCTCAAATGGAGAAGTTAAACATTAGTCTCAAATATCATATATCTCAAACATGAAATTTTATATTACCATAATACATTGTATCTCTCAAACCTTTACTCACAGGACAATTTAAGCATGAAGGTATTTGCAATTTAAATTTACTTCACTCCAGGTAATGATATAGTTTAATAACAAAGAATAAGTGTCATACAATATTTCTTATTTGGGGAAATCATTAGAAAAATGTAGAATTAGATAAAAGAAAAGTACTTTAAAATATCTTATGGACACCCCATTAGACAAAGCAAAGAAAGTTCAACTGCAAAAACATTTTATTAATAAAAAAGCAAATATGTTATAGTTTCAATCTGCAATCTCCCTCCTACTCCTGCTGTGCAGCTTTTTGGAAGTGCAATCTGGCTGACAGAAAGAGATCAGTCAGTAGAGGCAGATTTCGGAAGATTCTTCTGGTTCCTGCTTCCTCTCACTTCCATGAGGAGTCACTATCAAATGCTCATTCCACTATGAACTCTGCAACTCTGCCACAAGCTCATTATGCCATGGCTGGAGGGAGGGAGTGCCTCCGCCCAGCCTTTTCAACCAGGACAGACTGAAATCCCTCTAAAACCATGAGGCAAACTAAATCTCTCACATTACCAGTTTCTTCCAGGATATTTGGTGATATAAAAATGAAAATATTTCTACTGATAATATTATCAACTTTACCATCATTATTATTATTAGTTTTATTGGAGACAGGGTTTTTCTGTGTAGCCTTGGTTGTCCAGGACTCACTTTGTAGACCAGGCTGGTGGTGAACTCACGGAGATCCCCCTGCCTCAGTTTCCCAGAGTGCTGGGATTACAGGCAAGCACCACTGCATCCGGTTTATGTTATCAACTTTAAGACAAAAAGAATCACTCTTGATTACTTACCAATATCACCAATACAGTATGAACAAACTGAAGTAATCAGTTATTTAGATATTGAACACAAATGTTCTCTGAAATCAATCCTAAAAGGCATTTTAATTAAGAATTATTTGCTGACAGGCACAGTGGAGTCAGAGTCAGGCGGATCTCTGTGAGTTTGAGGCCAGCCTGGTCTACAAAGCAAGCCCGGGACAGCCAAGGCTACACAGAAAAACACTGTCTCAAAAAACAAACAAAATCAAAAACAATAATTATTTGTAGGGGCTGACGTGATGGAAACACCTTTATCCCAGCACTCAGAGGCAGAGGCAGGCAAATGCCTGTGAGTTCAAGACCAACTGGGCTACGAAGGACTTCCAGGTTAGCCATGGCTACTTAATTGAAACCCTATCTCAAAAAACAATAACAAAAACAAACAAACCCAAAAACACACACACACACACACAAAAAAACTGTAGTCTTTTTACTTTATAGGAAAAAGCCCATCTTCCTTTCCTGTTACTATTCAGTCTTTACTATAAAAGAGGGCGGGAGGTTGGTAAACAGAAGTTATCTGGCCGCTTATCTTACAACAACACAATACAAACAAGGAGCACAATTTTAGAGTCAGCTAATTCTCCATGATGCAATGCTAAAAATATTATAGTAAGAGGCTAAAAGGACAACTAGCCAAATAATCCAGATAAACTTTTTAAGTAAAACACCTGACAAAACTCACAAGGTTAAATAAAAAAAAAAAAAAAAAAAAATACTAGATAGATAAAGCTAGACAGAATTAATTTCGGTCTTAGTTAACTATTTACAAAATGAATGTGTAAATCTTTTAATTTGCAAGCATAGGCACAGAAGATTGAGGACCAACTAACTTTCCAACAGATTGTTCTTGGGTAAGTTACTATAGTGTAAAGTCTAACAAACAGTGGTAAACGTCTAGAAACTGGAATTTACCAGCAACCTGAAAGATGATCAACCATACTCACTGACTAATCTATGCTTAACAGAAACCGATATAAAATTAGCACGCCAGAAGTTCCTCTTTATTCAGAGTACTCACAACCTTTCTAAATACAGTGGAAGTACTAATTTGACTTGGTTAAATTGGTTCTTGGTTGACTAGAAAATTGATGTGAACTAGTGCATCAATGAGACATTACGTGCAGGCCATAAGCAATTCTGCACCAAAGCAGAAAGTACATTATCTGGTGAGCCATTCCTGGCCAGACTGTTCAGTTACCATTTCTGCAACTTGCAACTCAAAAATTTCCTCGCTGACTCCTTTTTCTGTGGCCTATTTCATTTTCTCTGCATCATCACGGACAGTCAAGCTGCTGCTCCTGTGGACCTGTCATCCTAAGTACCCTTCTACTGTGTCCTACCTAATTATGATATGGCAAATGCATTTCCCTATTTTTAAAAGCTTTTAAACAGTTACCTCTGACAGCATAACCTCAAGTTTAAGGAAACTACAAAATAGTACAGGGGTTTGGAAGTTTGTTTTCTGGATTTCATAAACAGTGAAACTTAAACCTGAACAAAATAGATAATACTACAATAAACATATAAATGAATACAACTTAACTACGTGGAAAATGATAACTCGCTCAAAAAAGGGTACAAAAATCATATATACTACGAAAGTATTCTACATCTGTATAATATTTTGTAAGTTACATAGTACTTTCCCACCTATTTAAATTTGCATAACCACAAAGTAGTTAAAAGTCCCAGGGAAGATACTTACAAGTACAAAGGAAATAATCCAGAAATTTGACTTTTAAATCCATTAAAGTACTTCAAAACCAGCAAAGCAAACATAGCAGGACCCACTATTAATGAACTGTTAATTAAAGTACTATTATAGTTTGGACCAAAAATTTAATGTTCATTTACTCATACAAATACATTTTTATTCTGGAATTAAAAAAACATATTAATACTAATTTGCCCAACAGGCAATTTCAAATTTCTTATATCATAATGTATTTTTACGTGGGCCTTGAGAAACACTTTCTGAACTAAATGACAATTACACTTGGAAATTATGTAAAATTATAAAACTGTTAATTTAGTCTTTCATAATACAACAATTTCTCTCTATTGCGATTGTGTCAAACACCTCTACAGGTAGAAGTTCTATATAAAAACACATCAGTCACCCACACCTCAGTGTGAATAACTAAATAAACCCAATCAAGCCTAACCCAAATGTAAAATGAAAAACTTGTACTGTACTAGAAGCCAGGCACTGACCTGGTAAGAGGCATCTTATGGAATACAAAAATCATACCACATAAATACATCATTATATATGAAGTTAGTTCTTATCCAGTGAACTTCATCCTACTGAGAGCCAGCAGGTGCTTAGGTTAAAACTTCAAAGTACTACAATAACAAAACAAAGTCTATATCATAATTTAAGTACTGTTCTCTGTTTTAGGAATCTTTTATAAGACACATTGATATAATTTATTACTGTATGAAATGGAAAATCAAGAGTTCTTACCTTACTACATCATCAATATTGTTCCTGTATACACCTTCAAGTCTTTCTGCAGGAAATCCCATAGCAATGATATTTGGATAAATATCTGAGTGTTTAAGTTAAGGAAAAAGCTAAGATATACAACAATATATATATGTATGCATTTGAAAATATTAGTTTCCCCCAGTAGAGCTGTATGTAAATATAAAAGATTATCAAACATATTTAAAATGTATTTGTCTGCAACTTACTATGTATAATTGAGAAACACTAACACATCACTCTAAAAAAGACTTAAAAAACAACTTTTCAACAAAATACTGTTAGAAATTCTCTATTTAGTATATTAAAAATAAACCTAGGCATAACACATCCCAACTCAAAAAGTTTTCAAATCAGGGGGCATCCTTGGGCATGTAACAAATTTCAGATGGGCCTAGATTATAGTGAGAAACTCTCTCAAAAGTACAAAACTAAACAGTAAAATAAGAGCCCAAGATAAAGGTCATTTCCAGATTTACAAAGTTAATGCATGTAAGGGAAAAAACACACTTTGTACATCATACAGCTATTGTCAGGGTGATCACGAAAAACAAAACCAAAAACCTGAATCAGCCTGAAAAGATATAACAAAACATCTTCTAATTTATCCTGGTTAACGATGATTAGAACAGTGATAGTCAGGAAGATGGAGAGCTGGCTGCTCCTTGAGCTGTATAACCTGGACAAGCCACCCGACACCCCCAGACGTCAAGTTCCTACTGTACAGAGTGACTGCGCTGGAAGCAATAGCTCCAGCCCCTGCCACCTGCAACATAATAACACTAGTTGGAGGTTGAAGCTTGGTTGCTTTCTTCTAATCAATGTAATTAATACTTAGCATGTCCATTAGTTTCAATTGGATTACACGACGGTTAACATAAAAACAAACCTCTATACTCAAGAAGAATTTGTTGCCAATTAACCAAAAATCTACAGTCCAATGAATGTTGCCCATCTTTCAAGCTCTCGTTGATTCTAGGGTTCCATCATGATTTTTCACATCTAGACTTTCTACATCTACTAAAACAAGTTGCCTCCTTTAAAACAACCACTAAAGCTCTTGCCCAGATAGTCTGGATACATTTGCCTTCCACATATAACTCAGTAACAAGTCTCCAAGCCACTGAGGAGGCTTTGGACATATAAACTATAAAGGCAGAGCACCATCTGTGATGGCCAAGTATCTTTAACACCAACTCACAAAGCCCTTAGGTTAAAAAAAAAAGGTTAACTTAGAGGAATAAGATAGATGGACAGACTTAATGTCATCATACAAGAATAAATGAGACAAAGTTAAAAGTCTGTAGGACACAACCTAGCATCTTCAGCAGGTCAAATCACGGTTTTAAGGTTCCTAATTCCTTAGTGCACACAGACACATACAGACTTTAATAATATTCTCTGCAGATTCCTAATTCCTTAAGTGTACATACAGATACATAAATTTACCTCAACTCAAAAAGTAGCAAAGCTCCAAATACAATGACTATCATTTAAATACAACAAACATTACATGTCATCTATTCTAAATTAAGAAAAGGGTCACATCTAAAAATACAGCTCCTTTAATTGTGAAAATGTGTTGGTTAACTCCTAGGCATATATCCAAAAGATTCTCAAGTACACAATAAGGACATTTGCTCAACCATGTTTGTAGCAGCCTTATTTGTAATAGCCAGAAGCTGGAAACAGCCCAGATGCCCCTCAGTGGAGGAGTGGATGCACAAATTGTGGTATATCTACACAATGGAATATTACTCAGCAATAAAAAATAAGGAAATCATGAAATTTGCAGGTAAATGGTGGGATCTGGAAAAGATCATCCTGAGTGAGCTATCCCAGAAGCAGAAAGGCACACACGGTATATACTCACTCATATAGACATATAATGTAGGATAAACCTACTGAAATCTGTACACCTAAAGAAACTAATCAAGAGGGAGGACTCTTGCTAAAATGCTCAATTTCTACCCAGAAAGGCAAAGAGGATGGACATCAGAAGAAGGAGAGAGGAGGGAACAAGTCAGGAGCCTGACACAGAGGACCTGTGAAAGGCTCTGCCCTGCAGACTATCAATGTAGATGCTGAGACTTACGGGCAACCTTTGGGCAGAGTGCAGGGAATCTTAGGAAAGAAGTGGCAAACAGTAAGATCTGGAGAGGACAGAAACTCCATAAGGAGAGCAACAGAGCCAAAAAATCTGAGCACAGGGATCTTTCCTGAGACTGCTATTCCAACCAAGGACTATGCCTGGAGATAACCTAAGACCCTTGCACAGATGTAGCCCATGGCAGTTCAGTATCCAAGTGGGTTCCATTGTGATAGGAACAGGGACTGTCTCTGACATGAACTGACTGGCCTGCTCTTTAATTACCTCTCCCTGAGGGAGAAGCAGTATTACCAGGCCACAGAAGAGGACAAGGCAGCCACTCCTGATGAGACCTAATTGACTAGGATCAGAAGGAAGGAAAAGAAGTCTTCCCTATCAGTGGACTTGGGGAGGGGCATGCATGCAGAGGGTGGAGGAAGGGAGGGATTGGGACGGGAGGAGGAAGGGAACCAAGGGGGGGGGGGGGATACAAAGTCAGTAAAGTGTAATTAATAAAGAAAAATAAAATAAAATAAAATAAATGTGCTGGTTATATTATGTTCAGAAATAATGGAGAAAGCAAGCAAGGAAAGATTTAACCATGACAAAAGAAATACAACTTCTGATTCAATTTTTAAAAAGATTAAATTTTTTGAGCACCAACTTAAGAAAAATGGAAAATATAAGCAAAAGATTGAGTCACCAGAATGAAGACCCAAACAGTGATAATTATCACTACTTTGAAATTCCCACTCAAAACATTACAAGTTAATTTTGGTCAAAATATAAACTGAGATGTCAGGAAAGACAGCTCAGTGACAGAGGCTTTGTACATGAGCCTTAGTTTTACCCAACACACAAAAACAAAAAATATAGACATACATATGCATACAGATACTTAATGATTTAAATAATCTATGCTTTACTGAACAATGCAATTAAGAACTGAATTTTATTAAAAGAAAAACATTTTTACTATTTCCAGTGAAATGTGGTCATTCTATCTAGAACTAATTTCAAATTTAACCTTTGTGCTATGAATATTTATAATCCAAACAAGTTGGCACAAGACTGAGTTAGTTACCTCCTTTCTGTGGTTGCTGGAAATGCCAGTGTTCTACTTCTGAGAGCTACCTCCAACTTAGGAACCTTTCTTAAGAAAGACAGGCACACAGAAAGACCTACCGTGGCACTAAAAGTACTATCGCATTTTTTTAAATTAAGATGTTTTCAGAGGGAGGGGTTAGTTCTGTGGAAGTATGGAAAAAGCATCACTAAGTAAGTATTATGATAGGTAACCCTCACAAGAGTACTTATCATACATCAGTGACAACAGAAAACACAGGGGTTGGAGAGAAAACCCAGAAATTAAGTATACTTGCTGCTCTTGCAGAAAGAGGATTGGCTTTGCTTTCCAGCACCCACATTGAAGCTTACAAAAATCTGCAACTCCAGTTCCAGGAGATCCCATGCCCTCTTCAGAACTCTGTGGGTACCAGGCATACAGACATGTATGTAGGCATTAACACTCCCACAGATTAAAATATAATATATTAAAAAAAAATACTTATGTGGCTAGAATAGTCAGAGGCTGTAGAAGTGAAATAGAAATCTATCAAGAAACAGAAAAAAAGAAGGAAGGAAGGGAGGGAGGGAGGGAGGAAGGGAGGGAGGGACAAAACTGGACTAAAGGGGCTTTAAAAGAACAGGAATCAACACCAGGAGCGATGGCACAGGCCTTTAATCCCAGCACTCAGAAGGCAGAGGCAGGCACATCTCTGTGAGTTTGAGGCCACCCTGGTACAGAGAATGAGTTGCAGGACAGCCAGGACTATACAGAGAAACCCTGTCTCAAAACAAAACAAAACTAAACAAAAGCTAATATAGGTCTGTGTAGTTTAACTATTTAATAGGTACCATATCCAATTCTAACCATGGAATGAATATCTGATACAGAACAGCAACCCTGCAACATAAAGCTGGCAACTTCAGGTAAATCAAAGTCTGTGCCTTAATGCTACTTTTGTCCTCGTGTAAAATAACAGTATTCCTTTCATTTGCTCGTTGATTCATGTAAGGTATCTGAAAATATTTTTAAATGTATAAAACTGCGTTGGGCCCTATAGCTGAAACTAAGAGGCTCTTATCATCAGAGTTCTTCATGTCAGGTCCCAACAGCTGAGACACAGGAGAATCACCAAAGTTTCAGGACAACCTAGTCTACATAGCAAGTTCCAGGCCAGCCAGCCAAAGGTATAAAACCTTGTCTCCACTAAAAGAAAAAAAAAAAAAAACGGCACATAGGCATCACAGCACACGCCTCCGATGCTGGCAATCCAGCACTTGGGAGGCTGAAACAGTAGGGCTGCGCACTGAAGGTTAATCCAAGTGTACCAACCCTGCATGCAAACATTAACTCATTAGTTTTCCTACTTAATAGCAATACTATAAGTTGGTGCATTTGACAAGGAATCTCCAAGATACACCTATAAAATGTGTTTGTCTTCATTCTGCTCCAGAAATATAGTCAAGGAAAATAAACCACACAGGAAAGATAGGCTACAAAGATTCAGAGCAGTGTGATTCATAGAAGAAAATGGAAATAACTACAACAAAGTAGAGAGCAAACCATGGCATTTAGTACGGCTGGTAAAACAGTAATTATAAACAGCTTTGAAAATAGGCCAGGCATGCTGGTTCACACCTGTAATCCCATCACTTGGGGGCAGAGGCAAACAGATCTGAGTTTCAACACCTGCCTTGTCTACATAAGAGTTAGTTTGAGGCCAGCCAGGGCAATACAGAATGTCTTTAAAGAAAATCACAAACAAATAAATAAAAAGTATATCTTAGTAGGTAAATATCCTATTTGTGAAAAGAGGACAATACCAAACACTGACAATACCTATGCAATAACAACATACCTATTAATGTAAACATATACATTAATGAACGTAATTTCCAGTGACAAACTT